TTAACCCTGCTGAAAAAAGCACCTTTGTTCCTAGTCTAGACCTGTCTTGTAGGAGGTGACTTCTGGGTACTCGTCTGGCTCTGTCAATCTGTTTTTTCACTTCAGCAGGTGGGTATTGTAGTTTTAAGAATGCTTGATAGAGATCTTGTAGGTGCTTGTCTCTATCCGAGGGATTGGAGCAAATGCGGTTGTATCTTAGAGCTTGGCCGTAGACAATGGATCATGTGGTGTGACCTGGATGGAAGCTGGAGGCATGTAGGTAAATATAGCGGTCATTAGGTTTCTGGTTTAGGGTGATATTTATGTGACCATCGCTTATTAGCACAGTAGTGTCCAGGAAATGGACCGCTTGTATGGACTGATCTAGGCTAAGGTTGATGGTGGGATGGAAATTATTGAAATCATGGTGGAATTCCTCAAGGGCTTCTTTTCCATGGGTCCAGATGATGAAGATGTCATCAGTGTAGCGTAAGTAGAGTAGGGGCGTTGGGGACGAGAGCTAAGGAAGCGTTGTTCTAAGTCAGCCATGAAAATGTTGGCATACTGTGGGGCCATGCGGGTACCCATAGCAGTGCCGCTGACTTGAAGGTATATATATATTGTCCCCAAATGTGAAATAGTTGTGGGTGAGGACAAAGTCAAGAGTAAGTGATGTGCGTGGGGAACTGTGGGATATTTTGAAGTGGGCCTCCCTTGAGCTCTCCTGTTGAAGCTGTTTCACTGTGAATAATGAACAAATAATGAAAGAATGATTCCTCCCAGATACGCCTAACCACTGGACCATAGTCATTCTCGCTCTCTCCTCCCCCCCTCCCCGCCCCAACAGTCAGAGACAGAAAGTCATGCACTCAATATGTGCAGTACTTTACTTTTTTCATTTAAGTACACATCTGAGTGTGATGCACAAACATCCCTTTATTTGACTATACAATCATAAAAGGCAAGAGGCAGTTTGCACCTGGCAATCTTTCAGATTTGGAGATCATTCTGAAATTTAGATTTACATACCATCTAAAGAGCTTAGAAATTTTACTCTGGGTGAACACCCTTTATAATAACAACCATTCCTAGCTTTTCACTGTCTGTGCAGTAGTGTGTTAAACATTCAAGCTAATGGCATGACGTTCTGATATTACCAAGATATAAATGCATTCTGGGATGTATAAATTATAGGAGTTGCAATAAATTGCATTTGAAGGGACAGCAACTGCATGCTTGAACACAGATGGTTTTAATGCTCTGAATAGGCCTGATCCTGTCTGTCAAAGTTAAGCAGATTTGAGTCTGGTTGTCTTTTAGGTTTGCTGTTTCTCTGTGATTGTAATGGCAGAGAATTTACATTAATCTGCATGTGTATGTATACACATATAGATAGAGATTACACCACGTGTGTCTCTGATAAATTGAAGAGTCATGTGATAAACTGCATTTATACCCTATGATCACCTCCCCTGCACTCCGCCCACACTACCTGTAGCACTCCAAACTTCTGATCAGCTTTCAGACAATTGCTACTTGAACACATAAATCAAATCCGTATAAATGTTTCCTTCTTTCCTCACATGATGTGGAACTCCTCCCTTTTTCCCCCCACCCCCCTCAAAAATTGCATTGGCTAAAAGGGGTAATATTCAGTGCTGGACAAGAAACAGGATGAAGTTTTTGATCTCTTCTGAGTCCTAGGGAAGGTGTCTTTACAGGTGTTAGGTTTCACCTTGATATCTATTCTTTTGCAGTACAGCTTTCTAACTTTGGATTTTTGTTTGTTTTGTTTTGCTAAATACTTGTCAAGTGTTGTCTGAGTCATAAATGCACACCACTGCTTTCACCTATGAATTTCCATGACACGCTAACTGTTTAAAGTAGCTTATCCACCTATAGCATTCAATACTCAGTGGAGATTCAATAATGAACTCTCATGGGATCCCTTACTAAAGCACCACATTGTCATCCCCCATTTCCACTGGCTAAGAAGAACTAAATGGGGAAGATCTGGAGTGGATTGAACAACATACTGTTTCCTTCCCTCATTCCTGCCAGAAGTCTGTAAGGTCAAGCTCCACTGTTGTGAAGGGCACTGGAGCCAGGACAGTAGGGGACACAGCTGAGAAACTGACACACTTCCTCACATTGTCCTTACTCCATCCTTCAAACCCAGGGCATTACAGTAGTGTAAGATACTGATAACTCCTTCACCCACCCTACTACCTTGTTATGACCTCTCACCTTCAGAGGGTTGGGAGGGGACAGCAGTTGGCAGGAAGACCACAGTGGCATGGCACTCTCATGAAATGTGTGGGGCTCCTGGATAGACAATAGGCCTCCATGGATGTCCCAAGATCTGTGGAATATCCCCATGGGTCTCAAGCTACCTGCAAGTTTCAAGGTCCACAGCCTGAGAAGCTCCATGGGAGGCAACACCACCAATGGGACATTTGAAAGAAACTCCATCATTTTCAACTCCTGGACACACGTTTCTTCTTTCACCAGGTTTACACAGGTATAACTCCGTTAACTACATAGAAGCTACTTTTGATTTGAGTAGAGAATCGGGCTAATCTAATTTCCTCATTCCTATGCAGTCTTTTCCCACAAAGGGGACAATATGGCCCTAAGAATGTACCAACTC